ATGGGAACCTATAATAAGTCTATTTTTTGACACCTTTTTAAAATGCGTACCGCTCGGTATTTTTCCACACATCTTTTTAAAGTACTTCCCAGGAAGTATGTATGACGTTTAATTGATAATCATATAACTCTGACCATTTCTTGTGGATAAATGTATACAATATGTACTTATATGATATAGATACAAAACTTTTATTAGTAATCTCTCTGTGTGCGTATACTTTCTTTCATCTGAAGATTGATGTGTCACCTATGTTATGTGCGTGGCACATTGTCTGAAATCGTCTTGATTCATATTTCTATATTTCACTGGCATATATTTTTAAACACTGAAATTCAGCGTTTACATCATCCATCATATGAATGATACTTTTTTAAACATTCTTTTCAAATAAAGGTCCACTTTCAACAATCTAGACAACTATTCGCTATAGTTCTTGAAAATATTATCCAAGAAAAAATTCGTAAATTGAAATCAACAATCTAATTTTGTAGAAACTCTATTAGGCTCTATTCTAGTTGTTCGAATTTTACTTCTGAATTTTTCATATAGTCGTCAGTCAAGTCGGTTATTTATTATCAAGAACAGTGTTTTATTACAAAAATAAAAATCAAATAATTAAAAATAGTTGTTTACTTTTGACAGATAACGTTACTAAAATTGATATTCTGAGATTCATAGATATGAAATATGTTTGTTGTATTTTACCTGTTTCATGTTTCATGTCAGCATTGTATCTCATCAATATGTAAAGTTGCAATAAAACCTGCGGAAGTGAGTGTAAATAAGATTGCAAGAAAACGTACAATTCTATAGAACGGGGGACTGCAACGACTTTTAACGATTCTTTAATATAGTCCTCTTCTTTAGCTCTTATGGCTTCTATAGACCAGAATATTCTTTCTGCGAACCTATGATTGAAGAAAATGTCATTTAATAAACTTATATTACTTTGTAAACATTAAATATTTCTTGGATATGATGTGTTTGCTCGACTTGTACAATAATATAGAGGTATGTTTCGTTATTTTAGGGGGCTTAGTATTATGGAACTTTTTCCTGAAATTTCGTCAACTCTAGAGGCCAGCTCCTTCTATGATGAAAACGAAAAGAAGGAATTCATTCCATAACGCTACGACCCTAAATTGGAAAAAAGATATTGGTCTATGGTCGCGAAAGCCGAAACACTTCAAAATGGGTGATGATAACATTGATCTATGAGCGGTGAATTGGCGCAGTGTCAGTGGGCTCGACTTACGACCGGAAGGTCGTGAGTTCAATCCCAACCTCGACCAGATATTTTTCTCGAGATAATTTATCTAGTTGAAGGTAGGATGATTCTGCAACGTTACATGGCTGACGGACTATGTGGCTCGGGAAGTTATTAACATTGCCTACCCAGGACACGAGGCCAATGTATTCGATGCCGATGACACCAAAAAAACATTTATCAACGAACCAGTTAGATTACTTGAAATAAGGACAAAGTAAATGAACAGGTAACGAAATCTGTTTCAAAATTCACTACCACATATGCACTGGTTTCTGCTGATGGCTCCGTGCATTTGTATTTATTTTGACAACTATTGACATCGCCTGCCCGGTACTGACGATGCCCAATAGGCTGAAACAGCTGTCTACCGATGGCTCTTAAATTGAAATCAATATGGGAATGATCAAAAAGTACATGGAATTTTATTAAAAATACTGAGTGGTGCTAATTCAATATTAACTGCATACCTATATCATCTACAGATATGTACATTTTGGCACATGGTTCAAAGTGAAGGAAATTTGCAGCAATCTTGACGTCACAGGCATAAATCAAAACAGAATATTTCTTCGAGATGGAAAAATATATCCAGCTATTTCCAGCTGAATGAACGATCTACCTGTAATGCACTCTTTTATATATGTGTTATGTATATCAATAGTAATGACTAGAAAAAATTTTCGACACCGACTTCGACACAGTCACAAAACAACATCATCAAACGATTCAATATCAAGAAAAGGACCGAGGTATATTGTCAAAAACAATCATTATGTTAATACGAA